ATTATATATATATTTTTTTAAGCAGACACCCTAGTGAATAAAATGGTGGGCACTGCAATTTTTTGTAACACATAATACACAGCGATTTTTCAAAAGCAAATTAAAAAAAAAAAAAAAAACTTTTTTTTTTACTTTTAATGCACAAAAGCACAATATACTGGCCAGTTACTTGGTAAAATATAAAAGATGATGGTGTGCTGAGTAAATAAATACCAAACATGATTTAAAACTGCGCATGCCCCGTGCAATGGCGATAAACTGCATACGTCTTTAATATCCATAGGCAATGGTTTAAAAGCCTTTACAGGCTACCATTTTAGATTTACAGAGGAGGTCTAGTGTTAGAATTACTGCCCTTGATCTGCCGTTCACGGTGATACCTCACCTGCATGGTGCAACCGCTGTTTACATACCAGCACAGGATCAACGGTCGTGCACACAGGTGTGCGCGCACATGGGGGGGGGAGGGGGGGCGAGGTTTTTTTTTTTATCTTTATTTTTTCTACTATTTTTACACTGTCCCTTTTTAATTGTTTTTTTTTTTATCACTTTTAATGCTATCACAGGAAATGCAAATATCCCCTATAACTTCAATGGGCATTGTCATATATTCTTTTTTGAGAAATCTGGGGTCTATCAGACTCTAGATCTCTCCTCTGCCCTTATATTATCTAATCAAACCAAGATCGGTGTGATCAGATGCTTTCCCAATTTACAAATGGCGCTGCTTATATCCTGCGAAGCTGAAGTGATGAAATGCTCGTAGCTTCCAATTTCTTAGACTATGTCAAGGTCCTACCTTTTCCCAGAGGTTATGCTGCTCCATGTGCTGGCATCCATCTTGGGTTTCTGCAGAGCATGGTGGGAGCCTTTTATGCTTTTAGGCCTCTGCGGTTCATTCCCCAGAGGGGTGTGGTTGATCACATTTAAGCCTGTTGTCTGCACTTGCTCTTTGCATTCGTGTCTTGTATGTTCATGTTGCAGCAAGCTCGGTTTCTGCTCTCGTGGCTCTCCTGGAAATTGACTCGGCTTTGACTAGACTATTCTCAGCGTTATCCCTTTATCTGACCTCCCATTGCTGAACCCGGCTTTTGACCTGTATATTCTTCTCTACCGTTCTGTACTGTCTGTCCCGCTGTTATCGACCTGGCCTGCCCGACTACGCTATTGTCTTATCTAGTTCCTACCAGCTGACCTGGTCCCTGGCTGCGTCAAGTCCATCCCCACCATCAGGGGCCCTGGTGAAGGGCAGCCTGGGGCTTAGACTCCGCGCCCTGAGGGACTCCGGTCTGTGGGTGGTGGTTGTCGTCAGTCGGTGCGTGACCCTGCCATTAGGCCTGCCTGTCGGTTCCATAGCTCCTGCCCTGACAGACTATAGAGATGATTGGCACCATTCTGGTCTCCAATCAGCTCTATGGTCAGCTGGCAGAAACACGGGCTGCATTCTCAGGTTCCCCCGATGGCACGGGACTGCCCGAGAAGGCCGTGGAAGGCAGCAGGAGAGGGGGGCATCATCTCCCACTGCTTGTAAAAGCAATTCTGCAGCTTATTAGACACTAGTATTGCTTTTACATGATAGCCGATCGCCGGCTGAAAAAAATTATACCAGGATGATGCCTGCAGCTGTAGGCATCATCCTGGTATAAACCATTTAAAGTCCAGGGATGTACCAGTACACCGCCGATCCTTGTTGGGTATATATGCTATGTTCTCTTTTTTTCATTCAGTCCACAGGCTGCATACAAAAAAGAAGAAATCTCTGCCAGAAAAAGTATGTGGTATGCCAACCATTAGAATATACCGCCCTACATCCACCTACTTCTAATGGTGGGCACACATTAGGTCGCACGGTGCCATATACACCAGTTCCAAGATTGTACAAATGTCTAAATAGTGGCGCACTTGAAAAAACATTGTTCACATATAAGTGTACCCCATATGGAAAAAGGATGACACCAAGTCCCAAACTATCTTGCCACTGCTCCCCATGTAGTCTGGGCATCTGGGGGCTCCATGTGACTACCTTTTCCCTCGTAAATCCGAAATGTATAAGTATAGCCTGTTGCCCTCTCACAGGTCTTATACTTCTTGACCCCATATCTGGCATGCTTGCTGGAGAGAAATTGTTTGAATGCAAGGTGGCCAAAAGAATTAATGAGTGACTCATCAACACAGATTTTTTGCTGGGGAGTATAGACATCTGCAAATTTTTGGTTAAGGTGATTTGTGAGGGGCTGAATTTTTGTGTTAGAGCCCTTTAAGAGACCAGTATTTTTTCATGAAATTAATGGATATTATCCTTGCAGGAAATGTGGGGCTTGTAGGATTAATGCCTAGAAATGTAAATAATTTAACACGTTCCAGTCTTGTTACATGTATGACTCGCAATGTGCTTTATTTATCCAATGTCTGTGTGGTCTCCAATATGTTGTCTGCATGGTATGCATGTCACAAACTCAATTCAGTGAGCAAATTGCTAATTTATATAAGGGATTTCCCAATCATAGTGTGTCAAACAAGGGCGGACTGACAACTCATGGGGCCCCCGGGCAATAAGGGATCATGGGGCACCTGTGTCCTTGCCCAAACTCAAAAAAGCCTATGGAAAAAAGGTACCAGGGGCATCTCATGGGCGCCCCCTACTGACTCCGGGCCCTCGGGCAGTGCCCAAGTTTCCAAATGGTCAGTCCGCCCCTGGTGTCAAAGCACTATGCACTCTTTCATAATAAAAACCCAGCCGGTACCTTGTTCCTTGCTGTAGACAAGTTTACTCCTAATTGGAAAGGCAACTATATTAGGCGTGAGATATCCAAATTAGAAATGAGATGGATTGATGCTTTAAAATCTTATGTGCCTCATGGTTTACATATAGAGTGGGACGTGAATGCATTTATCATTAACAGTTGAATCCCTTTTATATGATGTTTGGTGATAGATTTATTTTGTTTAGGTAATTTTATTGAATTTTTAATTTGAATTCATCTATGATTAATATTAATTTTGTAAGGTTTTATGGGTGAAATGTACATATTATTAACTAAAACATTTTTAAATGTTTGTTACAAACCACAAAATGGCGCTGTCCATGAGGTGCAGTTTTAAATATAGGTTTATGTTCTCTGTTGTTAGGGAATTGGGTATTTTGATCATTTTACCCTAAAGGAATTTTCCTTTAATAATGCCGCTTTTATTATTTTATATTTATTTAGCCTTTGGCTCAGATTACGAATGGGCCACTATAGAGGTGTAAATCCTGTGGTAATAGTGCAGCTACCACAATTTGGGCATTACGGGCCTTGGTAGTTGTGTGGCTAGACGCGGTTCTGGTATCTGAAAGGCATCTTGATGAGCAGGAGGATCCTTCCAGAATGCTTATAAGCAGCGCAACGCCGTCCGCTGACCACACCCCTGACGACATCTGTTGATGATGAAAAGCATAGGATGAAGTCACAGCGTGTGATGTTATCACACACCGGTATGGGCTGCGACCATCTTGTTGGTTTGAAACTTGGTTTAAACTGCATAATATGCTGGATTTTATACTGACCGCTGTAAGTGCAATACTTTGAAAAAATTTGATGTCGGTTGCCATACTACACACTATGAAATGCTTTTTCTCTATTATATATCATCTTGAGGAGAGCTTTGGCGTACTAGTTATTGGATCCGGAAGAAGGGTGCATTCGCATTGAGCTGATTAATGACCCTTTCCTGGAGGTCTAAAGCTAGGCTACATGACCATTTATAAAGATGGTCAAATCCATCTGGTGGGAGGCTGTTCTTCTGTGGTGACGGTGGAGGATTTTTCTATCTGTTGTCTCACCTTATAAGCACCATTACCTATGGACTTAAGAGCTATTGTATGAATTTATGTTACTAATTTGTCCCTCTGTGTTTGCACTACCCTATGCTTTCCATATTTTTGTGGTAGGGCTATTTGTGTTAAGTTATAGCGCTGCACTTAAAGTTATTCATTTTTTATGATGGGTTTGCCCTGCTGAATGTGCTAGCTGCTCCATATGTTTCTGCTATATAAAAATTGCGCAAGTGGTTGGTTTGAAATTGATGTATGAAGAAAGAAAAATATATTCATGATAAAGGTTACCATTACTGGACTCCAAATATTGAAGTCATTGGAGAGCAGCATTGTACAGTAACAAAGGAACATCTGACTTCACAGTTCTTAAAGTTAGTTGCATTTAGTTACATTAGTTAGTTACATTTTGTAAGTAAACACAAACTGGGATTTTTAAATATGAGATTGTCCAACTGTAGATAGAGAACAGGCTGAAGAGAAAGTATTAGTATTTTACTACTGTACACTCTCTGTCATTACATGTATGTAAGTGATATGTGCTAATATTGTAATACAACTTAAAGAAGTATACATTCTACCATCCATGTAGGTCTACCCTTTCTGCAAATGCTCAGGGATCCTAAAGTCCTACCTGATCACTAAAGGACAGGGAGAAGCTATTGTAGCCAGGATCATTGACAATCTGATATAGCATATGCCAGGTATTAAATAAACAGTGAATGATCTGTACTCCTACATTGTAAGTTTTAATGAGCAGGGACCTCCTGTATTAAATTGTAATGTAACTGTACTGTCTGCCCTCATGTTGTAAATTGCTGTGCAAACTGCTGGTGCTATATAAATCTTGTAAAATAATAATAATATTTGTAATGGGGTGACTACTTTTAAGACCACAAATGTAAGTGCACTCTCAGCACTGGCAACAGATATGCCCTATTATAAATCCCAGCTACATCTGTTATGCAAATTGTCTGTCCTCAAGTACATAAGGAGAGCAGGGGAGCAAGTAACATTTCACATTAACAGATATCAATTTTGAAACAATGGATACAGTTGTGCTCTTTATTGCTATTTTCCCTTTAAGTATGAGAATTAACAATTATTATTATTGTTATATATTTTTATAAATAATTGTCTTTAGATAATTAATTGACTCATTAATTATTGTGATTTTGTTTTGCAGGTGTCCTCTCCCAGACTTTACGAGAATCAGGCCCAGGAATTGTAAAACCTTCACAACAAATAAAAATCACCTGTACAGTGTCTGGGTTTGAATTATCCAGCTATGTTGTGCACTGGGTTAGAGAACTGCCTGAATCGAAATTGGAGTGGATTGGAGGTATATGGGGTGATGGTGGCACTAACTATGCTGATTCACTAAAAAACAGACTCTCAATCAGCAAAGACAATGCAAAGAAAGAAGTCTACCTGCAAATCAATGCAGCAGAAAATAAAGATTCTGGAACATATAACTGTGCAAGAGACACGGCAACAGAAAGTAACTGCCAGGCCGCTCAATTTCCTATTTCATATCTGTGAGGTAACCCACACAGGAAGAGGAAGTGTATTGCTTTTATGTTTTATCACTAGAGCTTGAGAAAGTATGTTTTCTAACATTTCAGTACAACTACCAAAAAAAGCATGTAAAGCTGTGAAAATGATTAGTTATTATGAAATCACTGTTTGTTTGAAATATTTATTATAATTTGTTAGGTACATAAATAGTATTATATTTATTGTGATCATAGCTATAAATAATGATGTCATGCTGACCCCTGGGCTTTCATTTTGACTGTATAATTAGTTGAACAGGCTAGCTTGTGTAGCACCCTTCTAGTTAGTGCTAGGATATGTATAGTTAGGTGTAACATAGCTGTGTTTCTCTGCTTACCAGAGAGGTTGTCAGGTAATTTCAGTGTGGTATTCTGCTTAACAGAGTGCTGGGATTGATGAGTTAGGTCTGCTCATGCTGCTCTGGTGCTGTTGGAGTTTCCCTGAGTTCTGTTCATCTTCAGGAATCTATGAGAGCCTTCTAGAACATGGGTAGGGGCTAGGCAAATGAACAGCATGGATATGGATACAGCCCTGGCAAATTGTAGGGAAAAGAAGTCCCATTGCATACTGGGAGAGGTATTTATATTCTGAGAACACATGGGTTCAGTGTCTTTCCCGGGAGTGGATTGCACTAGCCAGACTAGAGGCAGGCTGCCTTGCCTGGCACTCACTGCCATATGGCCTCAGGTGGGTCGACCTGAGAGCCTTAAAGAGTGACCCTGGTTCTTCAGGAAGCTGATTGAGGAGAGCTGTCTGCCAAATCTCTGTCTGGTGTCACTGGAGGGTTTCGCTTGGACGATTGTGTCTGTGAGCCTTTTGAGTACTGACATTGAGGAATTTGGGGACTCTGTGTGCCTGCTACCTCCCCTGGTGTTTGATAGCGTGGGTCTGGAAAAAGAGAATACTAGCTAGTATTCTGAAGAGCTTGTCCAAGTTTTGCTACTGCAAAGGACTTTGCTCGTCTACATTACCTTTTGGGCTGTTGCAGTCTTTCGTAACTGGCTTTTACCTGAGGAACTCTGTATCCCACTACAATTCTCCATCCCTATTTCCAGTTCTACAATAAAAGTCCAAAAACAAACAGACCCTAGGCTGGTCATTGGAGACAGCAAGCGGAGGTGTGTATGTGTATTTAGTCAAAAATTGAAGGGAAGGAAATGGGGGGGGGGGGAAGGTTGCAAATGGACTTTAAAGGCACAGAAATTTCAAACACATATTAGTAAAATCCTGTGTACTTTATTATGACAATAAGTCATGAAAAAACATCTTGCAGTTTAAAAGATCATAGTTATACTGCCCTGCCCGCAGACATGTCCCACAGCCCACCATATATAAGGAACACACTAATGATGAGGGATACAAAAACCATCCCTTCAATTGTTGACTATTATAATTAGGACATGGCACTAAAATACTACCATTTTTTTGGAAGTGATCTGGCACCAGGATACACACATTATTCTTCTCTTCTGTGTGTGTAATTAGCTGAAGGAATACACTGTGTCTGGCTGCGGGGCGAAGTAAGGGGAAATCGGGACATCATACAAGGGGCCCTCATGAAGGGTAGCGCTACACTTGTCTGGTATGATACTAGTCACATACTGTATTTATTAACACAGGATTGAATCACATCCATATGAAAATAATGAGTTAATCTTGCTTTATTGAACAAACTGCCCTATGCCTGGTACACACGTAAAGTTTTTTTTCACATTCAACCCAGCAGGCTGAACAAAAAAGACTGACAGATCGCCATACTTACACAAGTAATGTAGGTGCTCCGATCTCCCCTGCTGTGCCTTTGTGTTCTGATAAGGGGACTGCCCCCTGCCAGAACACATTGATCAGCACTTGCAGCCATTTTCTGCAAGTACTGATCGCATGCTGGTTTTCCAGCAGGTCCCTTTGACAAAAGCTGGTTGTTAGACCAGCTTCTCTCAGAGAGACAGCTGTATACACTGACTGATTGTTGGCCAATTCCTGCTGAACCGATGGATACTCGAAAATATTCAGGCCCATGTGTATCCAGCCTGACAGAGTAGATGCCCCCCTTCATTTCACCACAAATTAACCAAGAGTCTGGAAGGGGTTTTGGATATTCTATAGACATAATCACACAAATGAATGTAACAGTAAGAGGCTTATTGGATGGAAGTTATATATGTGGGATCTGAAGTTATGTTGGAGGAGAAGCCTCGGCATGACATGCTAGAGAGTAGATACGTGTGTCAGTGCCCAGAGATGCAAGCAGTGATACTTCCATGGACACTAATCAAAGCTCTCTATTAGTGGGTTTTGAAAACCAACTCCAGTAATCTGTTAGACCCAATCATCTGAGCAAAGAATAAAGCCTAATGTGTGCTCCACTGGAGAGGCAGGGGACCTCCGGAAAGTTTTACCCTCTTCTTCACCAGGACATTTTTGCTGTTGGGCACTTGCTACTTTAACTGGTAATTGTGTGGCCATGCAATGCTGTACCCAAACTAAATGTATATCATTTTTTTCAAACAAAGAAAGGGCCGTACAATTCCCTCCCTCTAAATGACCCCTTTTTGGAAAGTAGACAACTCAAGGAATTTGTTGAGAGGCATGTTGAGCTCATGGAAAATTTTTATTTTTTGTCAAGTTTTTAAAAATGACAAAAAAAGTGTTTAATTGTTTTTTACACAAAGTTGTTATTTTAATAAGATATTTCTCACACATGCCATGAGTATACTAGGCCTCAACTTGTGTAATTTGTGAACCAGTAACTAGATAAAGGATGGCTGATTCAAGAGCATATCAGTGACAACTTAATTGGCTGGAGAATGGGACTCTCTCACCCTCCCCCCACTTAAAAGTTTTTGGTCCCCAAAGAGCTAACAGTCAAACTAACCGTGTTTGATATAACATAAGTACATTTGGCAAGAAAAATAATCCCCTTAGTCAGGAGAAACAACAATTGGCAAGTACTCATTATTAATTAATTCATGCAACAAAGACTCCCATCAGGGATTAGAAGACTCTGCTTGATTAGGAAGAATGGTCAAAGGTTTGAAGACCTCCTTTGGGATGGTGACAGCGGAGCACTTACAGATTCTTGGATGCACTCCAATATACTGCACAAAGGAGTCTCTAGGATTCTTTGGCTAGCATAGAAGGCTTCTTCCGAGTTTTCACCCAAAAACATAGTAAGTCAGTCTCTTTGGTGCTCTTATCTCCTTCTCTCTCTGGATTCCTCCTGGGTGGAGATGTTGTCTCCCTCCTATGAGGCATTCTTTTCTTCCACTCTAAGAAGCTCAAAAACTTCCTCTATTACAGGCTCTGCCTCAGAACTCCCTAGTAAATCAATTACAGGCTCAGGAAGGAGGAAGTCTCTAAGGGCAAAATCTAACTGTAGAGTGGGCTCAGAAAGTCCTGCAGGGCCTTGTTCTGCAAAGATAGGAGTCTCTGAATTTGAGTCTGCTGGAGGTGCTGCCAATCCTGGAATAGGATGCGGTCTGGTGGATAGAAATGGTAACCAATCTATTCCTATTTCCACCCCCTCTTCCTCATTGGTTCCCCCTTTTCTGGAACTGAAATGGTTGAAGAGGGGGATGGGGGAGGCTTGCGTGGTCAAGTCCCCACAGCTGGAGGATTATTTTCTGGCTCTGGGACTCACACAGCATCAGACAAGGGCAACAGATGATTCCAGTGCCAAGATTTCATTGGGTCTTTCTTCCCTTCCAGACAGATTTGATAGGCAGGGAAGTCCGGCAACTTTGGACAGAAGACATATGGTTGGGACTTCCAGCGGACTACAATATTGTGATTACCTGGGACCCCAAGATTTCTTAGTAGCACCCAATCTCTGGGCTGCAAATCTTGTAGTTTCACCTTGGAATCATAGCGTCGCTTGTTCCTGTGTCCTGCTGACTGGGAGACCTGTTTGGCTTTCTCATAAGTAGATTCTAGTTGGTGCTTTAGCCTCTCTACATACCCCTGATGTGATAAGGGAGCTAGGTAATTGGGAGCTGTGCCAAAGTCTAGATTCACAGGCAATTTAGCCTCCCGTCCAAACATTAGACAATAGGGTGAGAAGCCTGTAGCATCATTTCCGGTGCTATTGTAAGTATGCACCACTGCAGCAGTATGCCAGTTCCAGGCCTGCTGGTTCTTAGTGGTGACAGAGCATTTTACCAGGTATGCTCAGTCATTTCTCACAAACACACATTTTCCCATCCGTTAGAGTCTGGTTCCAGACACAGGAAATCAATACACACAAGCTCCATTGGTCCCTGGCTCTGAAGGTGGCCCAAGGAGGCAGCTTTTTAGGATAGAGTTTTCATCTGTATGCAGCTTAGGCAGGTACAGCAGTATTCTTTCACTTCTGACTTCATCCGTTGCCAGTGAAATTGATCTCTGTCCAACAGGACAGAGGTGTCCTGTCCTAGGTGTCCATGTTCGTTATGCAGTGACCTTAACACCATTCTTCTGAACTAAGAAGAGTGGCCATAGATCATCACTTTGGTCTGGGGGGCCCCTTCGTTAGACCATCCCATCCAACCTATCCCACTCCCTATGGATAACCATCTGGGGGATCTTCCACCAAAAGCAAGTCAGGTTGCTCTTCCATAAGGGCTCTTTTTGGTAATTGACAGAGCGGATCTTGACCCTGAGCCTCCAGCATATCTTTTGCAGTGAGCTGTGGTAATTCCTCACCCTTCAACTGGGACACATTGCAGTAGTATGGTGGAATGTGTGCACTTTGGGCTCCCAAAACTTTAGCATAAAACACCCCTTTGGCTACATATTCAGTTTCTCACAACCAGCTTGGTTTAGTAGCCTGACAACCATGAGATCTTGTGGATAGGGCATCTGCATCTTTATTCCCCACTCCAGGCTGGTACTTTATGCTAAAGCATAATCCAGACAGAGCAGCCAGCCACCGCTGCCAAGTAGCGTCTAGCTTGGCTGTGGTGAATACATGAAGACATTGGATTGTTGTCTGCCTTCAGCAGGAAATCTGCCCTATAGAGAGAGTTCTTATCCACCACAGCCCACTTCAAAGCAAGAAACTCCAGTTTGTGGGTTGGATAATTCCTTTCAGCAGGGGAGATGCTCCGGCTCATGAACGCCACGGCCATAGCAACCCAGCATGTTCTTGGTATAATACTGCCCCAAGGCCCTCTCGACTGGCATCTACATGAAGTTCTTATGACTTAGAAGGGTCTCTGCGTAAGCTAATACTGGAGCTTGCATTAAACATTGCTTCAGCATGATGAAGACATGTTCACACTGCGTGTCCAATGACCACTAATAGGTTCTCGAGGCATTCGTGGCCCTTTTGGTGTGGGGCTCTTTAGGTTAACTTTTTTCTTAAGAAACAAGTGTCATTGTCTATTAGCTGCTGGTCCAGCCTTTTCAGCCTGTTACGGGATTTATTGGGGTCTTCTCTCCTTAATTTAACTTTTTTTTTTCTATTTTAGTTTGTTTTCTGCTATGGGCAGCATACAGTTGATATTTAAAATATCTTGGAGCTGCCTCACAACAATGAGGCGAAGTGCCAAGCATTCACAACATACATAAAAGCTAAGCAATTCATTCAACCCCCTAAAAAGTAGAATGCCAGACAGGCCTGAACTGAGAGGCAGAGGTGCTGCATGTGGACTTAGAAAGGGAAGGAAGTTCCTACAAAACAAAGTGGTGGTAGGGCTATACAAAGGAGAGCCAAGGTACATCCGCTTTTCCTTTTACATAGTGACCAGTGACATGAAAACTGGAACTGCAGTAGCATGCACCAGCACTATTTAATAGCAACCTTCCAATGGCGGGTTTCCCTTCCCTGTTTGCTGGAGTGGAAAAAATAACTGACCCTGAGCCACCTCCAGCCCAGCATCTGAATACTAGTTTTTTAAAGCTGCTCTCATGCCTGTTGTGGCCGGTAGTATGTGAGAAAGTCATTATAGAATGCTTTAAAGTTCACCTTTTGACAAAAAATAATAAATGCACATTTTTTTTGCAGGCAAAAAAATGTGCATGTATTATGTTTGTCTGCAGGAGACTGGAAAGCATTGCACCAGCGATCAGGGGATCACTGGTGCCATGCAGGTCTCATGCAGACCTGTCAGTATATCTGTGTCAGGGCCTGGACTTGAACCTGGGACTTCTACTGTGTCAGGCAGTAACTCTACTCACTGAGCTACCTAGGATGCTGGACAACACTTTGCCTCATCTATTGGATAATCCTGCCTTGTTTGCTCTTGAACCTTGAACTCCTTGCTCCTCCCATGAACTTCCTATATAAGCCATGTACTTGGACTTCCTCCTTGCCAGATTATTGTGCCTTTCCAGCCAATATCCTGCTACTGTTCCTGCTGCTGTCTACACCTCCGCTACTGACCTTTGGCTTGTTCCTGACCACGATTGATCTGCTACCATTTGTGACCGACCCTTGGCTTGTGACCGACTCTGCTTTCGTCTGATCCCTAACCTGTTGATCCGCTATTGGTTCCCAGTCTGCTCATTCCCTGGTGGGGTGATCCTGAGATCTGCGACCTGGTATTAACACGCAGCCCAATCCATCTCCACCATTAGGAGCTCTGGTGAATACCGGTTAATACTTAGACCCCGCACCTCAGGTGAGCCTGCGTCATTCCCAGGGGGATCCGCTGGTGTACCTATCCTGCTGGTTCCAGGTAAGCCTTTTCCTGCTATAGCAACTGGTCTCTGAACCTGACCTTACACCGTGACAATCTGCTTGCCTGTACAGGATATACGGGTAAGCAGATATACTGACAGGGAAACTCAATAAACAATCACAGCACTACACTGCACCGTGTTAGTTCATTGAGAACTACAAGTATTAAAAAACACTGGAGTTCAGGCATGTGCCCTATAAGGTAATAATGATAAAAAATTGAAATATTATAACCTTACCTCAAAAATCAATTATTACATAGGGTTGTCAGGAAAGAGGGAAGGGGAGGGGAAAAGAAGGATGAAAGAAGGAAGAAAAGGAAACCCCCAGTATGTTAATAGGCTGGGGGATACTGACAGTAATCAAGCATAAAAATGATGATTATTATTATTATTATTATTATTATTATTATACAGGACTTACCATATTTTTAGCTCCATAAGATGCACCTGACCATAAGACGCGCCTAAGTTTTAGAGGAGAAAAAGAAAAAAAATATTCTGAACCAATGGACTGCAGACATAGTACAGGAAGTGACCAGACACTGTGGACACAGTACAGGAGATGACCAGAGACTGCGGACATAGTACAGGGGATGACCAGAGACTGCAAAACATAGTACAGGGGATGACCAGAGACTGCAACACAGTACAGGAGATGACCAGAGACTGCGGACACAGTACAGGAGATGACCAGAGACTGCGGACACAGTACAGGAGATGACCAGAGACTGCGGACACAGTACAGGAGATGACCAGAGACTGCGGACACAGTACAGGAGATGACCAGAGACTGCGGACACAGTACAGGAGAAGACCAGAGACTGCGGACAGTACAGGAGATGAACAGAGATTTTAGACAGTACAGGAGATGACCAGAGACTGCGGACAGTACAGATGACCAGAGACTGCAGGCAGTATAGGGGATGACCAGAGACTGCAGACAGTACAGGGCAGACATGACAGGGCAGACCACTGCGGACCTTTAAGGAGGTAGGGGGAGCGGGTACCTGAATTTGACAGGTACCCGCTCCCACTTCCGCGGAGTTCTCCTTCCTATACTGTGGGCACCCGACTTTGACAGCCGGGTGCCCACTGCGCATACGCGAGAACCTGTCATGTGTCCCAGAAGACACCGGACCATTCACAAAGCACAGCGCTTCTCGCGCATGCGCAGTGGGCACCCGGCTGTCACACATGCCGGGGCTGGAAGAAGCCGGCGCTGGAAGACTGCAGCGCTGGACCGAGGAACAGGTGAGTTCCTGCCGCAGAGAACAGCTGAGTGGCCGGCCCGGTATTCTGACATGGTGGCGGTGGAAATACCACACCGGCCGCTTTATATTCGCTCCATAAGACGCACTGACATTTTCCCCCCTTTTTTGGGGGGAAAAAAGTGCATCTTATGGACCGAAAAACACGGTATATAGCACCAACAGTTTGCTCAGCGGTTTACATTATGGAGGGAGAAGGTACAGTAACAATACAGTTCAATACAAGAGGGATTAGAGGGCCCTGCCCCTTGGAGCTTACAATCTAGGAGGGAGGGGATAGTGGTACAAGAGGTAATTAGCCGTGGGGGATGGAGTGGTAGGAGGAATAGTGGATTCCAGTATTAGCTGGGGTCAGGGTAGGCTTCCCTGAAGAGATGGGTGTTCAGAGTGCGCCTAAAGGTGAGAAGAGTAGACGATAGCTGATAGCTTGGGGTAGGGAGTTCCAGAGGATGGGTGAAGCCCTTTAGAAATCCTGGAGACGAGCATGGGAGGAGGAGACAATGGAGCTAGAGAGTAGGAGGTCTTACGAGGAGCAGAGAGTACGGTTTGGGGGGGTATTTAGAGACAAGGTCGGTAATGTAATTAGGGGCAGTGTTATGAACGGCTTTATACGTCAGTGTTAGTGTTTTGAATTTTATCCATTGGGCAATTGGAAGCCAGTGGAGGGATTGGCAGAGAGGGGTGGCAGATATAGAGCGGTTAGTAAGGTGAATGAGTCTGGCAGCAGCATTCATGATGGACTGTAGTGGGGATAGCCTGCGGTGAGATAGGCCAGTGAGGAGGGAGTTACAGTAGTCAAGGTGTCATATAATAAGGGAGTGAATGATTTGCTTAGTGGTTTCCGAGGTTAGGAACGGTCGTATCTTGGAGATGTTGTGGAGGTGAAGTCTACATGAGTTTGTCAGTGACTGGACCTGGGGCTTAAAGGATAGATTGGAGTCTAGGATTACACCTAGTACCCTGGCGTGAGGGGTGGGACTGATGGTAGTGTTGTTGATCTTGATGGAGAAGTCGGGGGGGGGGGGGGCACGGGCTGGGGGGGAATACTAGGAGCTCAGTTTTGGAAAGTTTGAGGAAGTGGAGTGACATCCAGTCCAATATGTCACTTAGTAGGCTGGTGATGCAATTGGAGACTGAGGGGGTGAGGTCAGGGGTAGAGAGATAGATTTGTGTGTCGTCGGTATAGAGATGGTAGTTGAAGCCGTGGGAGTTTATCAATTGGCCAAGGGAGGAGGTGTAGATGGAGAAGAGGAGGGGTCCAAGGACAGAGCCTTGAGGGACCCCGACAGAGAGAGGGAGTGAAGGGGAGCTGGCAGCGTTATAGGTAACACTGAAGGAGCACTGCGATAGATAGGAGGAGAACCAGGAGAGAGTGAAGTCTCTGAGGCCAAGAGAGTGCAGTTTTTGTGAGGAGGAGGGGATGGTCAACCGTATCAAAGAGGTCAAGTAGTAGGAGTATAGTATAGTGGCCATTGGTTTTGTTGGTTAGTAGGTCATTGGTGAGTTTGAGTAGGGCAGTTTCAGTTGGTGTGTAGGGGGTGGAAGCCGGACTGTAAAGAGTCGAGAAGGTTGTTGTCGGTGAGATGGAAGCTCAGGCGATTGTAGACTAAGTGTTCTAGGAGTTTAGAGGTAAATGACAGTAGGGAGATGGTTCTTAGGTTGTTCAGGTCGGAGGGGTCCAGGGAGGGTTTCTTACGTATGGGAGTGATGTGTGCGTGCTTTAGAGGGGAGGGGAAGGTACCGGTGGAGAGGGAAAGATTGAAGATGTGAGTGAGGGAGCATAGGATGGAAGGGGAGGGGGACCACAGGAGTTGTGAGGGGACAGGGTCCAGGGGGCAGGTGGTGAGGCGGGCTTTGGAGAAAATCTTAGTGACCTCTTCGGTGGTAGTGAGGTCAAGGGAGCAAAGTGTTGAGGGGGTTATTGTGTGAGGAGTGCTAAGTGGGGTGGAAGTCTGATCAGTGACGAAGTCCCTACAAATTGCGTCAATCTTGCTTTTGAAGTGGTTGGCAATCTCGTTGGTGGTAAGTGAGCTATGGCCTAGGGAATTCCAAACTACACCCCTGCACTCCACAATATAAGATCAACATCATTCTTATTATGGCCATAATAACCTTTAGAAGTTCCATTAATACTTCCTACCCCACCTCTAAGTATAACAGTGCATGTAGCAATGGTTCATTGATCCCCCAAATATTGTATATCAAAACATGAGGGAACTTGAGAGACTTTGGGAGCAGGGGGGATGTCCCCCAACTACCTCAATAACGACCATTTTTTGGGGGGGTGGATGGTACCCCCAGGACCACCTAGAACTACAGTTCTATACTTGCTTATGTTCTGTGACACACCTCTGTGATGGTATTTGCATTTTTTAAAAATTACTTTTCTAAAAAAGTTTTTTTATTTTTATATATAATATTTGAGGGATCCATGAACCAGTGCTATATGCACCGTTATACTTGGTGTTGGGGGAGGAAATATTAATGGAACTGTTAAAGGTTATTATGGCCCTAATAGGGATGCTGTTTATCTTATATTGTGGGGTGCAGGTTGTAGCTGGCCAGCTAAGACCGGTCCTAGGTTGCTAATATGGTTCACATATATGTGTATACCAAACCTGCCAATAACCTCAGTACAGTGTATATGTGCATATGTTAAAGCCAAAAGCAGAATCATTGCTGTAATTTATGTCTTTGATTGTTATATGACATTCATATATTCATTGTATTAGCAGAAGCAGAAAAGGAAAATATGCCTTTAAGAGTTAGTATAAGGTGAGCCAATCACAGACAGCCTCACACTGTACAGAGCCTTAACCAATCCCAGCCAGTTTCACATTTGTGCCTGTGTAAAACTCCCTGCTAGAATTTTCTAGGGTCACTTGCTCATCAGACAGAAGAGGAAACAGACCAGTTCCAGTCAGAGAAGCTCTATGGAAGCAGAGAAGGCCAAATGGGTATTTAATGCACTTATGTGTTGCTCTATTGTTTAACAGTGCAGGTAGATCTGTGTGTAAAATCTGTTGTATGTGTTTACTTGTAGTTCCACTGAAATAACCTATCGAGATAAGCTATCGAATCAACCCAGTGTAAAGTAAATACGAATCAAGTCACTGTAGAGTAATCGAAATATACAGAACAAAATAAATGATCGATATAATCCACCGAATTAAACCACTGTAATATGAAAGAAATAAGCTACTGTAAGATAAACGAAACAAGCCATTGTAAGCAGTGTTATATGAAGAAGATTAAAGTTATTAAAGAAGTTAACTAAAGTATTCGGTGTGCTCTTTAAACCTACTGCATCCATAGAGCGGCATTGGAGGAATTACAGAGTAAAGTCAGTCCAATCAAACAAAAGAAACAGCAATTGCATAATTTTCCTAATGCCACAGCGCACTAGGCACTTTATAGTGCTGCGCCTGCCACACAGGGTGTAGCCTGGAATTGCCTAGGCCAATAGCTGCTATTTAAATCCATAAGCATTTTTATACTTGATTACTGTCAGTATCCCCCAGCTTATTGTCGTACTGGTGGTTTCCTTTTCTTCCTTCTTTCCTCCTCCTTTTCCCCTTCACATCCCTCTTTCCTGGTAACCTTATGTAAGAATTCATTTTTGAGGAAAGGTTATACTATTTAAATGTTTGATCAATATTACCTTATAGGGCACATGCCTGTTCTGTGCCCTATAATACTAGATCTTCAGTTTATCAAGGGTTCAAGTTCTTCAGTCCATATGATGCTTGTGGCTCTCTAAACCTGGAACTAATTGTAAGCCATGTGGTTCTCTTTGTAACAGGTAATACACACATCTGGAAAGACCCAGAGCATAGAATAAGTGTATTGTGCACTATTGTTACTCACATTGGCTTTCTTTGTAATCTTATAAAAATATATGCCAGATCTCCCTGAAAGCAAGCTTGTCCGGTGAAACGCGTCAGCATATTTCAAATTATGGCATACCATATGACTAAGTTTGTATTTAACAATATTTCAATATTTGTCATTACGATGTTGTAACAATTTGTACAATAAAATGTAAACTTTTTACATATAGTGTGGTACTTTACAATCCTATTAGTTTTTCACATGGTAGGGAATTGAGTATATTTCAGTGCCAATCATCTTTACCCTTTAGTGATGACCTGCAGACTCAGTTGTCACAGGTGAAGTTTGAGTTTGTGCACATGCTTTGTGCCACTCACTAAATTTTCTACCATAAAGCAGAGCAAGAAAAAAAAAAGAGAACTAAGCAAAGCAGGATTACATTTCTTTATATCATTATATAAATAACTGTATTGTGCTAAAACACCCATAACCTACCTGCCCTATAAAGTATCTGCACTTGATTATGTAAACAATACAGCATTCTGCAGTGTTAGTGAATAGCTTTTATCTTGCACAGTGACTGGAGTGCTCTGAACAGTGCAGGTCACTATCATAGGTAATAAGTGATGATTTATTGGTACCAATCATTAGCGATAGCATACTGTACATTCTAAAAGTTTTACTTTCAGAATAAAAAAACTGCAGAGAAAAATCTACTTCACTTAGGAAATGACTGCTAAATGCCTACACATACATATAGAGTGGGACGTGAATGCATTTAACATTAACAGTTGAATCCCTTTTATATGATGTTTGGTGATAGATTTATTTTGTTTAGGTAATTTTATTGAATTTTTTAATTTGAATTCATCTATGATTAATATTAATTTTGTAAGGTTTTATGGGTGAAATGTACATGTTATTAACTAAAACTTTTTTAAATGTTTGTTACAAACCACAAAATGGCGCTGTCCATGAGGTGCAGTCTTAAATATAGGTTTATGTTCTCTGTTGTTAGGGAATTGGGTATTTTGATCATTTTACC